ATGTGCTAGTAGGAGTAGAGAATATGGTTTTTCCCGTCGACTTCTACGTCCTCGAAATGGGGAATGATGACCAAACGGCACCCATCCTCTTGGGAAGACCCTTCTTAAAGACCGCAAAAACAAAAATTGACGTGTCTAGTGGTTCATTAACTTTAGAGTTCAATGACCAAAAAGTAGAGTTCAATATCTTCGACTCTACGAAAAAACAAATTAAAGATCAATCTCTTTGCTCTTTGAATGTTTTTGAACCACCAACGCCAAATGCTTTAATTGAGTCGGGAACAAAGAAGAAAGGTCGGCCTTACTGGAAAAGGCAAAAGAAAAGAAATGAAGGAAGGGATGCTCACGATCCCACATAAAATAAAAATAAAAATAAATAAAACGTTGTGCCACGACGTTAAATAAGGCGCTTCTTGGGAGGCAACCCAAGTCAATTAGTTAGATTTTATTTCCTTTTTGTGTAAATTTGAGAGAAAAGAGAGAGAGGGAACTAATCACATGTTTGTTTTGAAGAAGAAGAAAATGCAGGTTTTGAAGTGTCTGGAGGCATACTCGATCGGGTATACCTCTTTACCCGGTCGAGTATGAACTGAAATAAGAAGAGAAAAAAATCTGTCTCCTGTACTCGATCGAGTACAGGTTGATACTCGATCGAGTATTGGTGGAAAAATGAAAGCAATAAGCCCCTGCCTCCTAGACCCGATCGAGTACATATCAATACTCGGTCGAGTATAAGTGGAAAATCAACTTTTCTATGCCCCTGCCTCCGGTACCCGATCGGGTATACAGGGATACTCGATCGGGTACCCCTGCGATTAATACCCAAACAACACCCATTTTTACTTCATCTTCTCCAAAACACTCCCAACTTCAAACCACTCTCCCCCAAAACTCCATTTTTCCACCTTCTCTCTACCAAACTAGACTCTTATCAACAACAAAAAGGCAAGTAAAACCTTCCCGTTTTCTTTGCCATGATGCTCTACGAGAATTAGGAGTCTATAAGAGTTGTAGAAAATTCTTTCATGCATTAGATATGGACCGTATTTTCAATATGAAATACAATTCTAATGAACGGATTATCTACGAATTCTTGAGTTCGGTGAAATTTGAAAGTGATGAGGCGGATTTTAGGGATGATAGACTCGAGTTTCGTCTGTTTAACCGAAATTATTCAATAACGAAACTCGAGTTTGCTGAACACTTTGGTATCCCGGTGCCCTACGAGAGAGCCATCTCGGATAACACCATTTTTGGGCACTCCCTATGGACAAAGATGACCGGGGAAGTGAGCTTTAACTCCTCCCAAATGTATATTAGTCATGTCCAACACCCCGTCCTCCGGTTATTCTTGAAATTCTTAGCCAATTGCTTGCTTGGCCGTCCCAACAACCATCACACTAGAATTGGGGACGTTTGTTTGATGTCCGTGGCCCTATTCCGTCGTCACGTAGACTTTAATCTGTGCAATCTCATGTGGGCACATCTGAAAAAAGAAAGCGTAGCCAAAGGAGCCATTGTTTTGGGAGGGGTAATTATGCACTTGGCCGGAAAATTCGGGTATACAGATAACTCTCCTATACCCGAATATTGTTTGATGGACATAGGTTGGTTAGGCCGATCAGGCTGCACCTCTTTTTCTCATACAGTGTACATTGGAGACCAACCAAAACACATGTACAACTGGATCATACACGTCCAGCCGGTCCAATACTTCCTTTTGCCAAACCCCGACACTCCCAAAATCATCTACAGGCCGGAGTTCGAGGTGCCCCACTACCTATTCCCTCACGCCCTACCACCACATCTCCAAGAACCACAAGCCCAAGATCTCCCCGAAGACCAACCCGACCAAGAGCCTCAACCCGAGTACCAAGAACCCGAGGTTGCACATCACCACATGCCCGCACCTAACCAAGCTTTCCCACCTCCCGATTACTTCCAACAACTGCTTGACGGATTTAATAGAGTTACTAACGAAGTTGGTAAGTATCGGGAGGAACAAAGGGCGGGATTTCAAAGAATAGAAGAGCAAAGGGCCGAAGACAACCGACGGTATGAAGAGGATCAACGTAGGTTCTATGGACCGATGTACTCTTACATGGCTCATCAAGGCCAATTCCACACCATGGCTCAACCACCACCACCCCCCTCTTGGTATGACCCCACTCAATGGGGTAATTTTGGAGGATCTAGCTCCGGGGGTGGAGGTTTTGATGGAGGGGATGATGGCGGCGACACCCACATGGGCGATGGGAGCTTTGGAGGAGGCTTTGGAAGCGGCTTTGGAGGCGGCTTCTACGGCGGAGAAGGCGGGCACTAGGGACAGTGCTTCAACTAAGTGTGGGGGAGGAGATTACTCATGGTATGTAATTTCATTTTCTACCTTTTACTATGCATGAATTTCTTTTACCCTTTGTAAACAAAACAAAAAAAAAAAGGAGAAGAGAAAAAATGGATAAAAGAATTGAAATGCTAGTTAGGTTGAAAACCCAAAAATGGGCAATCTAAGCAAAAAAATGGCTTATAAAAAAAATTGAAATGAGTGAGTTAGTAAGGATGGAAAAACAAAAAGAGATGCTAGGATGAAAACCTGAAAAGGCTCCTAGGCAAAATGAGAGATATGAGAGAAATATTTGTTGTGTGCAGGAACCCATTTGATCTCTTGAGGAGAAAAGAAGAGAAGGCAAAGAAGAAGAGGCAAGAAGGAGCATAGAAGATCATAAAACCCAAGAAAGAAAGTTGTTTGTAAAAATCATTTTCTTATTTCTTGGTGATCTTAGTTCATTTCTTTCTTGAACTCATGGAATGGTCTTAAACTGTTTGAACATTTGACTTTACTCGAGGACGAGTAAAGAACTAAGTGTGGGGGAGTTGATACGTTTGTAATTTCCGTATGTTTATTTACGCTTTTAGTTAGTTTTGATTGTTTAATATTTCGGAAATTACACACTTTCGGTGTAATAGTTTAGTTTGTTAAATTCTTGTAATTTGTTTAGATTAGGTTTATTCTGAGCTTAAACAGGTCCAAGATCAATCAAATGATCAATGGTGAAGGAAGGTGCAAGAGTACAAGACAAAAAGAAGGAAAAATCCTGATTTTGGTCTATACTCGATCGAGTATATACATATACTCGATCGGGTATCTGGTTGACATTTCAAATCGGATCGGATCCGAAAACAAAGGAACATGCAGGAGAAGATTTTCCCACGTTCGAGTGTCTATACCCGATCGGGTATGCTTATATACTCGATCGGGTATGCATATAAAATCTACTCGAGTATTGATCGAGTATTGACCAAATTCTGATTTCTATACATACTCGATCGAGTATGTATACATACTCGATCGAGTACTCGATCCTGCACCTCAAAAAGCCTATAAATACACCCCCTTTCCTTCACTTTTAGATACCAATTCCTTTATACTCTTAAGCTCAGTTTAGAATAGAATTTATCTATATTTCTTTTAGCATGTTTAGTCTCCAAATGAGGAGCTAAACTTCCATTTCTTGGTATTGCTCTTGAAGCTTGTTGATTATTAAAGTTGTGAGTTATTTTCTTAACTTCTTTTCCTTGAATATTAATTCTTCCTTTAAATACTATTTCTATATCAATGTTGGGGAGTGTTACTAAGATGACAATTAGTTAACATCTTGACATTGGTTTTAGTAATAGCTATTCCTTCCTCTATGTTAATATCGGGGAGTGTTACTAAGATGACAATTAGTTAACATCTTGATATTTAACTATAGTAGGATTCATTCCCTTTTAATATTCTTCCTTGAGTATTAATTAATTCCTATTCATATTTCATATTAATATTTTGAACATTACTTAAAGGATCAACTAGTTTTGTTTCATATATTAATTACTACTAGATACGATCAACGAACCAATGGTAATCGTTGATGGGGTCACAAGTAAGTAACTTCGGTTTATTAATGCACGGTTGTGGTTAATAGACCTAAGAGGAATTAATTGTGTTGGTTAAACCAAAACCGCTTGTGTTGAGGTTATCGATCTCAATTGATTTCATCAAGGAGTTAAGCGATTAAATGCTACTATCAAGTCGGTATACGGCGCTTGTTCTATACTTGACTAATAGTAAGGGTTATTAATGAACGGTCGTTGTTAATAACTATCCTCGATGAATTGGATATACTCCTCGATTGAGTATTCGAGAGGAGATAAGTTATAGATATAACAATGATCGACCAAAATATATCAACAAGTGTAAAGTAGCAATACCAAGTCAATTTTATCTTTGAATTAAATCCCATATAAATCGTTCATCTTCGTGTTTAAATTTAATTAAATCACTCAACAATCAAAACCCCCCTTTACTTACTATTTATATAGAAAGAAAATTATTCCTTTCCCTGTGGATACGAACTCTACTTCACCTATACTACGTATAAGTGTTAGTATTGAAATTTATTTTGAGTGCACACACGACAAAGTGCACGTCACCTCCCCCGGTCTTGGATTGGTTACTTGGTTTCAATTGGAGGATGATGGGTAATAATTTGGAAAATTTCACCGGAAAGGCAATGGATGGATTTATACCAGTTATAACTATATGAGTTGTTTGATAATGTATTTATTTGTAGCTTATTATATTCTCTTTCTTCCAACCATCTAAATGTAGAAATTATCTTAAAAGTAAATATCACCCTCCCTCCTGAAATCCTCAACCAAACAAGCACTATATGGCCAACATGTTTGATCATATAGATTTGCATTCTATATCAGCATTTTATATGGTTCACAATCACAATGCATGTAGTCATACACATTACTCTTTATAAGGTGGAATAGCAGAAAACATGTATTGAATATGGTTGAAATGCAGCTCATCTGACATCTTCATTTCATCTGACATATTGAATGCCTACATTTTGTTACATTTACAGTTAAAAACACCTGAAAATTGCCTTTTTTTAGCATTCTCAGAGATCTTCTAATCACCCAACGACTATTATGGTTTCTTTGTGCAGATGGTTCTGTCGCAGCCCTTTGCATCTGAGGTATGTAGAAAATTAAACTGTAAACGGAAAGTCAGAAAACAATTGTTGGTGTTTCATTCAGTAACAATGACTCTCATGTTATGGGACAGGCAGAGTTGGATAGAGAGCATCCTGTAGCAACAAGAACTCAACACAAATGCTTAAAGAGAGTTGAGTTGGTGGGATTTTACTCATGTGCCGTTACTCTTTGCATGCTTTCTCGCTTGATTAACATTGCTGGTGTGTCACTGGAGAAGGTGATGATCAAATTTGATGCGGAGAATCGTTCGTTCTTTGCGCTTCAGCGGCTTAAAGCCGTCACGGACAACCTCTCTTCAACGGTTGAGTTAATGGTTTCATAGATATGCTTCAATGGAACTCGCCCAACACACTACTTTCTTACAGAATCAACATAACAATTCAACCAAGCAGTCATTTTAATCTTTGCCGGCTCTGTTTCTTTTGAGCAAGTGGGGTTGCCAAGTCCCTTGTTTCAAAATACGGAGTATAAGAAGTGTTTTGGATTAGGAAACATTATTACAATTAGAAGTTAACTAGTATTCCGACTGTGCGTTGCAGAGGTTGTATTATGCATATATTATAAATGTTACTCCGTAACATATAAAATCAATTATAAATTATATTAGTATTGCCGCAAAAAAGTGGGAAAATGTAAATAAATAATTAAAAATGAATATTAAAACTGTAATGAGCCAAGAACCTTGTGGTCTGATGGCATCACTGCAGATCTTCCAAAGAGGGGGTTGCAGGTTCGAGTCTTATTTCAATCAAGGATGTTGGCATTAACTAAAACAGATACTATAGTATAGTAGGTTTAAAAGAATGTCCAAAAAAATTGTAATAAACACACACATTACAAACTAAACTTATTGTGTTCTAGTTTTTTTAAAAACACCTTTTCGGTTACAACCATTTTTCGTGATTATAGACTAATTTTCCCTCTACATAGTCTATAATCATTATATATAAGTGTTTTTTATTCATTTTAACCCGTAACTTTTAATTATACTTCTTATACTTGTACTTGAAAAAAATTGGGTATCTTTATAAGTTATTGAAAACCTCTGGATTACTAAAAAATTGTTACTATACTAAAATCAATTTTCAAAAACCACCGACTTTTATTATTATCAATTTTCATACACTCTCCCCATTTTATATTTTATTTCTCACTTATTTGTTTTTGAAAATTTATTCATTTTTTTCACATTTCAATACATTTTCATATATGGAAACTATTTCCTACTTATTCTACTTCCGACTTTTCTAGTTTTTCTCTTTCATGTTTTTGAAAAGTGGTACTATCTACTTCGTATATTTTAGATATTGCTCCCTTCATTTTTAATATTTCTACAAATGCTTAACCAAATGCGCTCAAAACCAAAAAAAGTACACTCCTTGGGTCCTTGTAATGAATGTGTCACATAAAAATGGATGTATCTAAGCATTACTCGAAACTGTTTCAGTTGGTTGTTAATTTTGTATGACTCATTAAAATGTTCATATGAATATGATTTCAACATTACTACACACTATCGGTCATGATAAATCAAGTAGCCCTTCCAAAGTTTGAAAAAGTCTTGTGATTGTTCATTTATACTACTCCCTCCATTCTTTAATTTCTCATCATTTAGAGCAAGTGAGGTATAGTACTATATTATAGTTGCACTTAAGGACACTATTGATGGATAAGAATGTGAAAGGGGAAATTGTGAATGATTAAAATATGTGATTATGTTGTGCGAAAAATCTGAAAGCTCTAGGAGAAGGGCAGCAACATATTTTACAAAGACTATTGTAATTTGCCTTCTGTTTAAAGTTTTCTAATGGTTGGAGGAATGGTGTTCAGTGGTTTATATATACAAACATATTTTTACAATGATTGTTGTAACAAATTCATTAAATCTAAACCAAATTCTTTAACCCATAGAAACAGTTGATTAAAATTGATATATTGAAACGAAAACTTGTTTTGCTAGAGTGGTTGGTCATTGCCTAGAATATTAAAGTATCAAAAATTGATAAATTGAAAGAAAACATGTTTGTCTCTCATTCAAATTGGCAAATTGCTCCAGAATGTCGTAATCGATGTGTCCGTCTTCGGCTTGGAATTGGTGCGGCCGTCTTCTGCTTCGAATCGGTGCGCCGTTAAATTCAAAAATCGAATTATTGATTGGGGGGTTATCACCTTGCTTGGTTGCGTTGTTAAATTTCAAAATACGAAGCCGTCGTTATCATCTTGGTTAGGGCTGGGACTTTGGAACCAAGAACCGGAGAACCGAACCGGACCGAACCGTTATGACCCGGTTCGGTTCGGTTCCAAAATTTATTATTAGTTATTTGTTAACGGTTCGGTTCCTATTTTTTATTAACGGTTCGGTTCTCGGTTCCTGAAAAAAATATGTACATGGAACCGTTAAAGAACCGTTATATATAATAATTAAAATTTTATATATTTCTTATTAGTATATATATTTTAATGTATATTACTTATCTATTTTTATATTACATTCACTATTTTAGTTTAGTTATTTAACTATTTAAAATTATTTTTCATTTTAATCGGTTCTCTTGGGCTTCTTTAGTGAATATCTTGTTTTATTTTATTTACTAAAATTTGCAGTTTGGTATGTATTTATGTGTTAAACTCAACTATTGTGTTTGAAATGATGTTCAACATATTTGTATTGTAATTTCAAACGTTGAATGTCTTTTTGACACAAATTTAATCGTGATCTGTAAGAAATTTTTTAAAGAATAGGAACCGTTAAATAACAAGAACCGAACCGTTAAGAATGGTTCGGTTCCTTAACGGTTCTATAAAATAATTTATAAGAACCGAACCGTTAGTAAAATTTCATATTTTCAAACGGTTCCACATATTTTGCCTAGGAACCGAACCGGTCCCAGGCCTAATCTTGGTTGATACGAAGCTTGAGAAATTTGATGAAGGAGAAGGTGAGCAGAGGGGAAGGAATCGGAAATTAGAGAGGCTAGAAGGAAGGAATCTGAAATGGATGAGGAGAGAAAAATGGGATAGAGACGTACGGTGTACGATGCAGAAACGGGATGTCTATGGGCGGGGAAAATGTAGGGAAAATTTCACAAATAGTCTAAAAAGTTAAAATAATATTATTATTGTCACCACTTATTTTTTTTCAAATATAAACTATGAGAAAGTTAGGAGTGGTTCGGTACGATATACCGAATATTTTCTCTCATACATTTACCATACCAAAACTTTCGGCATGCAAAATTTATATCCGTTACCTTACCGAAGTTTCGGTATACCGCATTTCGGTATACTGAAGTTTCGGTTCGGTAACGGTACGATATCGGTAAATTACCATGCATGTCTCCCAATACAAAATAATATCAGTCTAATGAAATATACTAAATCGGTGTTACTATCAACATATTTATTCCATTATTAAAATGTTACAAAATACAATTAATAATCTATTGATGTTCTATCAAAAAAAATCTATTGATGTCATATTCAATAGTGAACAATAATTATTATTAGTATATTTAAGTAGTTCAACATGCCACATATTAATAAATAACACATTATCCTAAAATAATTTGAACAATATAGATATAATTAAATCAATAGTGATCTCTAACATAAATAAATAAATAAAATTATTCAAACAACATGAATACACAAATCTATGTTATCTATTCTTAAGCAATACTAATGAAATACAAAGTAAATTTTACCCATAACTAGTTATGTATTACTCATAATAAAATACATGTGTTTGATTAAATGGACAAAAAAACTTGGAAATGGAACATTTTATCAAACCCAATGAAATAGAGTTTTAAAAGAAATAGTTTTTCAAATCATAAAACATCATCACATTTTAGAAATTAAAGAACACATTCATGAACAAGTGACTGAGCTAACAAAAGTTCAACATCAAGCTGAACTCCTTCATACTCCATACCGTAGTTTTTCAAATATGACACCCCCTCACACTTAGCTATTAGTTTCAGACACAATGACAATAACATATTCTAAAAAATCACAAGTATTGATTTTTTTTTTTTTTATGAAACTGATGGGTATAGATTTTCAATCAACTTCTTGCACTTTAACAAAAGCTTATGAAGGAAGAGGAAGGAGAGGAGAACTGATCTTTTACATTATTCACCAATTCTATAATTAAACTGTTATACTACTATACACCAACATCAATTTCAACAAAGAAGAAACCCCTTTAGACTAAAATAGCATTCACCAAAATTTATCATCAACAGGCCAAACATCAATTCCAAATATAGTTGTGCTACAACAAAGACCCAAACAATCAACCACCATTTCAGCAGGAATTTAGAACTAACTAACCAAAGGAATATAATAAGCTTAAAGAAAAGAACATTGGTAAATTAATAGGCATAAAAATTTACCTGAAATTGGGTAAGAGAATTAGGGTGTGAGTCGATGATGTGTGTTTTCTCGCACTTAAAATGGTTGTAAAAAAGTGGTTGGAAGTACGAGTATCGTCTCCACAGGGACGGACAAAAGGGAATTAAAGATTAACTAAATTCAGCGATTAAAAAGAAATAAATAAAATAAAATACAATTGTGCGAGATTGGTTGATTGAATAAAACAAAACTAACGCTAATAGGGGTGAGATTTTGGAACCGGGAACCGTAGAACCGATTGGAACCGAACCGTTAACAACATCTAGGAACCGAACCGTTAACAATTAATATTTCATTTGTAGGAACCGAACCGAAGCGGGTTATAACGGTTCGGTTCCTGGTTCCTATAAAAAATATGTGCAGGGAACCATTAAGGAACCGTTATTAAAATAAAATAAAAAAAATAAAATAATATTAGTAGTAATAGTAATAACAACAACAACAACAACAACAACAATAATAATAATAATAATATAATAGCAATAATAACCACCACCACAACAATAATAACAAAACAATAGTATAAAATATTTAACTAACAATTCTAATTTAATCAACGAAAACGAAGTAATAAATATTGTACCTGAGGTTGATATAATACATTAAACTCCTTTCTACAAATCAAGTTTTAATCCATCACATAAATTTTATAAATATAAATAACCCAAATAAATTGTAGTTGATTGCACATATTTTACTTTACTATTTTCATGATATTTCTAATTATTAGATTTATTATGAATCAATCGAATGTAATAATGTTTTTTATATCTATACATGCTAACTCAATGTTTTGCTTTTATGTTTTGAAAGACTTGAAGTAGGTGTCCTATTCTTGCTACTATGATGACGAGTAACCTTCATCGCTCCCACACTACAATGATTTTTATGTTTTATTTATTACATGAAAATTTAAATCGTCTTTTGTTCTATTAAGTGTTCACAGTTCATTAGTTAAGTTTGAGCTTTGATGTTTGAAGTGGTTAGAGCTTCAAATAAAATTTTAATACTCGTGTTTTGAATTTCCGACGTGTTTATGTTGTTTGTAGAAAGTAAATTTTGTGTTAATTCTTAGATGAGAAAAAATTATTCTAGGAACCGGTAAAAGGAAGAACCGAACTATTTCCTACTGGTTCGGTTCCATAACGGTTCTTCATTTTTTGTATAGGAACCGAACCGATTTCATTAGTTTAA